AAGACTTCAGGGAGTTCCTTAGCTCCATTACGGGGAGTGCTAAGTTCAATTGCACGGCGCGAAGTTCACTTGAAGGGGGTGCTAAACTCAAGAGACAGATTGCCAGAGGGATGAATTACCAATTTACCACCCTTCTTTTCAAAGTGCCCCTACCCCAGTTAGCCAGCACATTTGCTAACACATGTTTTGCTGACACTTAGCGCACCCCACGTCCTAACAGACGATGACAACCAAAACTCAAGGAAAAACAGAAGAGTCAGAAAACCATAGAGGAAGGGAGAGTGTAGGAGCGATGGGTCTGGTGCTATCGGTAAGCCATTTGAAAAAGAATCCTCTTTCCTTGCAGGTGTATATTCGCTGCTACCCTACATACGGCTACCAAGTTAGTATCGAGTACTATCAACGTGCCCAATGCGATTTTACAAATTTACAGTGTTTTCGGAGACCTCTTCACTAAACCTCCCTGTGTGGCTTTGCCCAACCATGAAGTGCACTTGCTGAAATACATTTTTCCACTTTTAACTTACTGGACAGAAGCATCACATCTGTCATACAACTTCAAAACAAGCAACAGAAGGGGGGACGCATACCATTCTCATGCCAAAAAAAGCGTAAAAAAAAAAAAAACGGAAAATGAAAGCAGCATTTACAGAGCTGCAAGGACAGAGCTGGTCAGGTTCATCATCTTCCCCTTCTCTTCAATCTCTTGTCCTTTGTTCAAACATGCTTACCAGTGATAAGCAACAGGACTGACGTCCCCCAGCATAGAAGGGGCACCAACTATTTTGGGGGGGGGAAAAAGGAAAGCAGCATTAACAAGAAGGAAAATGACTGCCAATACAGTGCCAAGGCACAGGGCCACACACCATGCAGGGCAGAAGCATATGCCTTTAAAGAACGGGCCTGCCCTCCAGAGCATCTTCACAGAACATTCAAGTAACCCAACTGCCATATACAACTTTAACACAAGGAATAGGCAAGGGGCATTTCTTGATCATTACGACAAAAAAGAGTGGGGGGGCAAAAACAACAACAGAAAAGCAAAGCGATATCTGAGGAAGTAAAATGACAGCCAAGGCAACAGTGCAACGCACCATGCAATGCTGAAGAATGCTTTCAAGGGATGTGCCTTCAGATATCCTTGGAAGCATGGTTCGCAAAACATTCAAGTACGCAGTGACCCTGTGCATGGCCCAACTGTAAACCAAACCCCCATCATTGACCTCCTCCTGCCCGGACGTGTCATCTGAAAAGATAGCTCGGTAATGCATAACAACATCGAAAAGATGAACTCGATGGCACTCGGTTATACGCTTGAGGTAGTCGTATGGACTACTCTGGTCTAGCTCCTCGATAATGTCAGCAAGCCAAGCCTCTCTGCAACGAAGGAACTGCCACACACAATATCACATCACACAGACGAATGGAGCAACCAATCATTCCTTGCTACTCTGGGACATTAGAATGAGCTAAGTTTAAACTCTGAAACAATCTCAGTGAACTCAACCATTGAGCTAAGTTTAAACTCTGTGACCACGATTTATTCTCAGCAGATTGCACCCTCAACGAATGCAATCAGTCACAGCGGAAATTTTCGGTGACAAAAGCAACAATGCTGGTTACAACGAGAAGTTTTGGTGACAGCAGCAACAACACTGATCACAGTGGGAAGTTCCAATTACAGCAGCAGCAGCGCTGATCACAGCGAGAAGTCTCGGTGACAACAGCAGCAGTGCTGGCTATAGCGAGAGGGCCCGGTGGTAGCAACGGCGATGTTGGTCACAACATTTAATCCCAGTGACAAAAGCAATAGTGCAGGTCTTAGGGGGTTCTTTTGGTGACAGCAGCAACAGTTTAGGCTACAGCAAGTACTCCTGGTGACATCGGTGCTCAGCGACAGACATCAGATGATAGGAGAGCAGCTTTGAAATTAGCAAGTATTTGAGTATAGCAGACTCGAGGCGAGACCTTCTTGAGCACCATAGGTATATTGAGAAGAGCAAACTCGGTACTTGAGTACAGTCATCAGCTATAGGCCGCAGCAGACTTTTTTTCAAGTACAGTTCATCGTCATGCGGACTCGCGCAAGGACCCCTTGACATCATATTAACCATTGCCTGATCTCTTCAAAACGATATCATCAGCAGAGGGAAAAGAGAGAGTCGAGTATACAGAATGGTTTTATGATTTGTCCGTATGTTTGTGGCCTTGATGTGGTAAAAAGTTTTCCTCTTCTCTCAAATGATCTTGTTGATCTTATAGTGTAAAAAAAAAAAAAAAAAAAAAAAAAACGAAAAAAAAAAAAGAATTTACACTACCACACAGCGCACTCTCTCTCTCTCTCTCTCTCTCTCTCTCTCTCTCTCTCTCTCTCTCTCTCTCTCTCTCTCTCTCTCTCTCTCNCTCTCTCTCTCTCTCTCTCTCTCTCTCTCTCTCTCTCTCTCTCTCTCTCTCCCCCCCTCCCTCCCTCCCTTCCCTCCTCTCTTTATATCTTGCACCTCTGCATACACACTCGTTATCTCCCTCCTAGCATGAGCCTGTACCTCACAGCAACGATGCGCTATGCCTTCTCCTCAGAATATAATACTCCATTGCATATTGTCTATATCCCATGTTGCCTTCAATCTAGTGTAGATTCTTCAGAGCACTTCAGAATTTTTTGTATAGTTTCCACATTCACAAACTTCACTTCAGCAACAATTTTCCACATCCAGCAAATTTTGGCCATGTTCTGTGCCATTCAATGACAAAGATCAAATCACCCGGTGACGGCCACCAAAGCCACTGATACGTACCTGCAGCCGCATCTCATGTTCACCGAAGACTGCAAGCCTTCTGAGATAGCCAATAACCCGCAAGCAATCTGGCAACTGGCCACACAACGGTGCACACACACACACACACACACACACACACACACAAAACACACACACACACACACACACACACACACACACACACAAGCACACAAACACACAAACACACACACACAAACACACAAACACACAAACACGGCACAACAATCAGATATTAGAAGGGTAGCATGGACCCTGCAATGCCTGCACAAGGATCCCAGATGCACAATGGTCAGGTCAAGAAATAGTTCCCTAGGATCAAAAAACCAAAAAATACGACACACAGAGCCCTATTGTCAGTCCAAACCCAGGATATACGTGCATTCATGGACTGCAGGTACTGACACATTCGAGAACACATAATCCAACAACAGGATATCTGTCACAGAAGCCAATGCTGCAGTGGGCACACACAATGCCCGCCTCCAGACAGAACCAGCACAGCTGGCTCTTTAAAGACAGTTTTTGCTGACCGTTCGAAGACAGTCACTTAACATTCGAGAATATATGAACATTGGTTCAGCCATCTACAGACAATGATGATGATGATGATGATGATGATGATGATGATGATGATGATGATGACGACGACGACAACGATGATGACGACGACAGCGATGAGGACGAGGAGGATAAGGAGGAGGGAGGATGACAACCACGATGACGACGATGACGACGATGACGACGATGATGCAACCACGACTCCACACGTAGTGTATGCCACCATCAATATCATTGCACTAAGAGAGAGATTTCATACCCAGACACACACTACCCCTGCTCCAAGCCTCAATTGCTGTGTGCCATAGCCAACCAAACCTTCTAGAAGGCCGCTACTTTGTGTTGTGGGATGTTACCTGTTTCACCTGAATTCTGCAAGATCACCTCTTGGTCAGTCCTTCGAGACATCCGTGAAAATTGGAATGTTACAGAGAAGATTAGCATGGCCCTTGACACACACAAATCGAGAAATGGTCCAATTTTTCTGGGGAAAAACAAAAGATTACCTCTAGGTCAAGTTCAATGAGCTGTGGAAAATAGGATGCCTATTAACTAAGGCATTCACACTCAGTGTCTCTCAAGTTAGACCAGTTTGCACACATTGTCCACGCCGACTCAACGGATTAAACACACAGTAATTAGTTGAAATTGACATGGTGCAAAGTTGCAACCACTTCCAGCGTAGGTTACCAGGCCGACCCAGGCGGGCATCTGGGCAACCAACCCAGGCAGCCAGGTGAAAACGAAGGCAGTAATTGTTGTTATTGTTTTTTTCCTGGATTGATAGTGGGTCATTTCTGTGCCATCAAGACCAGCCCAAACCCGGGCTCCTTTTTGTTTTTCAGTGTTTGGGCTGGGCGGTTAGTGTTTGGGCTGGGCGGTTATGTTCGACTTACGTGTTTGACCGAGTTTGGGAAGGATTGAAGTGAGAGAAGTTCAGAGAACTGAGTCAGTGTCAGGAAAGCCACGTTGTTGACAGACTCGGAACATGAAAGACTCTTGTTGGCCAGATCAAGTCGGTTGAGGGAAATTCAACGCCAGGAAAACTCGTCAGTAATCAGCCACTGAACGAGGCAGATGCCAACAACAGTCAAGATCGCAGTAACCCCAAGCATCGTCAACAGCCACTTCAATTCCAAAAGCATCTACAGATCACAGCAGTACGTGCGGCAGAAGTACATGAGTCGGTGAAAGTCCGACGAAATCGCAGTAACCCCAAGCATCATCAACAGCCACTTGAATTCCAAAAGCATCTACAGATCACAGCAGTACATGCGGCAGAAGTACATGAGTCGGTGAAAGTCCGACGAAACAGTTTGTCACAGCCCCTCGTTTGTTGTCCTCTTCTCCCTCTCTGCCCACGGTTGACCGCTGATGATTTATTCTTATCCATCCGTTCTGAATGCATCACAGCCATTCATTTTTCAGCCCATAGGACAAACACCACACACTGATGATTCATTCTTGCTTCCCATCTCTAATATGTCTTCAATTCCCTAGCATGTCAACTCTTCCTCTCCCTATTTCTACAAGTCCTGCCCATTCCAAACGAGCTCTTGTTGATCCTCCTCAACAACGAAGGTTCACTTCATTTCCACTTTTTCTCGAGCACAGAACCATTTCTTATTTTCTGCGCGTCATCCTTGCGCAGGGGCCATGCTACCGTCTTCACCCGAATAAAACGCCCGGTAATTATACCAGTACCTGGACTGAAAGTTGTGCCAACTACAGCATTAATGACCAGGCATTCTATTCGAGTGAAGACGGTAGTCTCTCTCTGTATCGTTCCAATTTTAACGGCCGGAGGACATTTCCAGTCTGTTTCAATTATACAAAAAAAAAGTTTTCCCTCCCTTCGGTCGGTTGAGAGCATGATTCCTCTTGCTGAATGCTTCTGTGATTAACTGATCCTTGGCTTGGGCTGAGTTTGAACCCACTTCAACCTGAAAGATGCCCTCCTGTTGCCTACTTGATGAGCAACTGTCCGCCAAAGCCACAAAGTTGCGATTAGCTTTGACATCATCCCAGAGGAAAGATAAGCAGCACTTGGTAATTATATGCTCTGGATGATTTGACAAATTGGGCTACAGACTATCAATTCTATGGGCTTTCCTTTATGGTACTAGCTGTTGTTTTATTGAGTTAGCATCTTTAATAATTGGTTCAAGATTCGATTCTGACGGTTACGGAGTAGCACCTAGACCTACCGTCTTCACCCGAATAGAACGCCCGGTCATTATCGCTGCATCTGGACTGAGAGTTGGGCCAAATGCAGCTATAATGACCGGGCGTTCTATTCGGGTGAAGACGGTAGTCCTAGACAATTTGATCGTATTATTACAGCATGAACAGTGACCATGAAAATGGCTCCTTCGTTAGCTAGACTATATGAGGAAATGGCTGAACCTAAATATGCTAGCCGATTTGCTCTTCTAGTCTAATAAAGAGGCTTCCGATCAATGACAAAACACAAGAAACACAAAGTATTGTACAAGGCATTCATTCACTACCTCGCTGGAAGGACATCAACCATGCCAGGGGAGCGGACACAGGGTAGGCATGCCATCTGGGAAGAGAGCAGTGAGAAGAGGGCAACCAGAGGGAGGGAGAGAGAGATGGGGAGAGAGAAGGAGAAGAGATGGGGAAAGAGAAGTGGAAATAGGGAATCGGAGGGGGAGACGAAGAGGAGCAGAGAGAATGAGTGAGGAAAAAATGCAGAGGGAGAGGACGCAGTAGGGGGAGAGGGAGGGGGTCTAAGAGAGACAGAGAGAGAGAACGAGAAGAGATGGTATGGGCAGTGACTTTACTATGGCTTGCCTGAATACTGGAACGCAATCTCTGGAGAAGCTGCTGAAGCATGGCCTGTGTGATCTGGTGAACCTCATCAGCTAGCGTCTGAATGACTGGAAGCCTGCACAACAGAACAACACATGCAATGAAGGGGGAACGAAACGAACCACGCACACAAATTAGTAGTTGAAATTACGTGTTTTTTTTTCCTGTGTCTCAGTCCAAAGGTATAGTCTGCATGAAGACAATGAGAATCCAAAGCGTATTGAGATCAACATAACTTTGGGAAAAAAAAAAGAAAAAAGAAAAAAGAAGATCAACATAGCTTGTACGAGTGAACGCGTGCGGATTAGCGGCACAAATATGGAAAGCCTACAATCGTTAGAATCGAGAACATAGGTTTTTAATATAGGCACGGATCCGAGTGAAATCAAATCAATGCCTTGGCAGCGCGCCTCCGAGAAGGAGGAGCCTACAGTTGCGCCTCCGAGAAGGAGGAGCCTGCAGTCGTTGATTACATAGCCGGGCCTCCCAGAAGGAGGAGCCTACAGTCGTTGATTACATACCCGGCTATCGCACTGGATAGTGGTTAAACGGTAGAAGATGTTTCGAAGAAAATGACGGTGAAAAGTCCCTCGGGACATCCATTAGAACTGGAACAATACGCAGAGGATTAGAATGGCCCCTGCACAAGGATGTCATGCGCGAATCGAGAAATGGTCCAGCTCCAGGAAAAAAAAAAAAAAAACAGAAACAAAAACAAAGATCAGTGAAATTTGCAGAATGGTATTGGACTTGTGAGTATTCAGATTGTAGTACTTCTGATGAACAATCACTTACTTTTGATAGTTATATGATTCCAGGGGATGATCTAGAATTGGGTCAATCACATTTATTAGAAGCAGATAATCGAGTGGTTGTACCGGCCAAAACTCGTTTACGTATGATTGTAACATCTGCTGATGTACTTCACAGTTGGGCAGTACCTTCCTTAGGTGTCAAATGTGATGTCGTACCTGGTCATTTAAATCAGACTTCCATCTTTATCAAACGAGGAGGAGTTTACTATGGTCAGTGTAGTGAACTTTGTGGTACCAATCATGTCTTTATGCCTATTGTAGTGGAAGCTGTCTCTTTCAATGATTATGTTCCTTAAGTAGAACTATTTCTTGGTAATTTGGCTAATTTGAGAGTATATTCATAACGTATTTGGTTAGGAAGAGCTCTATCTTGACAAATCGCTTTATATTGCATGCATTTTAACTTTTAATTCATATTTAGCTTGCCTATTGCGTGCTGAGCTCGACGTAATAACGAATCGTTACTTTTTTTATTGTCAGCCAGCAAGGGCTACCTGAGGCCTAGGCTGGAAAATGTGGAGGAAATTATCATGGCAATCAACCATCTGTTTAAAGTTTAAACTGGCAGTACGTCGCCAGTCATAATTGTCTGCTTTCAACCAGGCCTTGATCTGATTCCTCATCACAGGATATGTGTCTGGCTTTTCCGAGAGGCCAAGTGTTGATAGTGCAAATTTGCCATAGCAAAACCAGGCTCGGAGGCACTGGTGGTCTACGATAGTTTTGCAAGGCTCAAGGCCTCGGTAAGCCCTACTGGGCCTTGTTTCAGCAAGAGCGGCCACCCTAAGTGAAGGCGGGCCTACAAGTGTCGAGAGGCCTATTTTCGTGTTTTGATGCAGCTGGGGAAATTCAGGCAGTTGCGCCGCGTCAGTTGGTTGAACCCAGGCCCTGCCTGCCAACCTCTCGGGCCTCCAGACCCTTTATCAGATGAATCAGAGGCAGGCTCTGGACCAGACACAGGGCATGAACTGAACACAGGCCGACTGGGCAGTTGGACACGGGTAACCTCCCCAGGCCCTGTGGAAGATTCCCTGGGACAGGGGCTCAGCCACTTGGGGCCTACCGGAAGCTTTTTGGGAGAGGCCCAGGTCAGCCAGGCAGCCCACGACTGGAAGCCTCATTCCATAAAGGAAAGAGCCTGGCTTCTGGCTAGACATTCGGGCACTCGCTGCTTATGCGCAAGTGCTGCTGCGCCAGCTGCTCAAGCGAGTGCCTACACCCTCACGGGCGAGCAGGGAAGAACCAGGCAGCCATAGCCGGGCTGGCCTGCGCGTTGCTGGATGTGGCGCATGGTGGTCCTTGGGTGCATGTGGCATCTGTGTGGAGGATTGAGGTTGTGAGTGAAGCGAGGGGCATACCTGGTGCTTGATGTGAACGGCATTGGCCGAGATCTGCTCATACTTCGGGAAGCTGTTGACGTCACCAGCGGCATTGTAGATAGGCTAGATAGCATCTCCCATTCGTAGTCTGGGCGCTGAGCGCCAGATAGGGATTCGACATTGGTTCATTGTTGATAATGATGAGACTATTCCAACATTGTCACTTGTGAGCTTTTGCTGTGCTCTTATTTGGTGGAACTCGAGTTGCAATTCTGCTTTTGGTTCACGGTCAAGACTATCTGGTTTCATGTGTATGATGCTGCTTGGTTTTCTGGAATTCGCCATTGCTCATTTTCCTTGGAGTTTCATAATTCTTCCCAACATGGATGGATCGTCATATAGGAAGGAATGTCGATAATAATATTTTTGAGCTTCGGCACAGCTCAATCTTATGACAGACCTGGACAACCAGATGTTCGGCTACGACTTCCAAGGAAGCCAGGTTCATCCAGGAAGCTTGGAGGGTAAACAAGGCATCTCAGTCTGGGAGTGTGCTGAAGTGCGTAACGGTGCAATCCGGAATATACGATCTGTTCTAAAAACAAAGTTCCATAGAGATTGGCTGGGGCGGAGAAGAAACATTACAGAGATTGAAAATCAAAGGCTTTGGTTCACGGCGGGCGACCTTCTTCACCTCAATACAACCTACGGTCAGTATAGCCGTATTTGGGGTATCTTTCAGTCTAAATACAGCAATAATGACCACACAATGTACGTTGTGTTTGGGTGAAGAAGGTAGTTTGATCAGGCGAGAGAGAGAATTTAACATTGGATACTACGGAACAGACAAATGCAGTGACGAAAAAGGTGGACCTGTTTTCCACCACATTCTTCTCCCAGCCACTAGATCAGAGATTGTGTTCTCTGAAAAAAAGAAAAAAGAAAAGGAAAGAACATGTACCTCCCTTGAGACTCCCAGCCATTAGATCAGAGATTGTGTTCTCTGAAAAAAACAAAAGGGAAAAGGAAAAAACGTGTACCTCCCTTGTGACTGGAAGGTATTCACATAAAACTGCTGATAAATCAATCAGGAGTTCAAGTCCGATGCATCCACTAGAGTTAGGCACTAAACCCCTTTTCATAAGAAGACAAAATAGAAGTTCAACATACCTTTAGAGAACAAACAAAGGAGGGAAAAAAAATGAAAAACTCAACATACCTTGAGTGCATGGTTGCAAGCTTCGCAACAAACGCTTCAAGGTCCAATGCTTCGTCATAATTCCCATTTCGAACACACCTGCAATCATCAAAGGCAGAGAAATGCCGCTCAGCCTCCGCAAAACAGTCCCACACACACACAAAAAAAAAAAAAAAAAAAAAAAAAAACACTCCCACAGCTGGACCCTTCAGCTCCAAGGCCAGTCCAGACTCCAGACACAATGTCACCCTTGGCTGGCAGCAACCTTTATTTACCCCTTGGCTCCAAGAAAATGTCATTCGCTCCAGGCAAGGAGGGTACGCCCAATCCGATTTGGACAACTCCAATCAATCACATGACGAACACATCTGCAATCATAATATCACAGTCTCAGAGAGTGATACTTGCTACCCACGAACTGAACCCTAAGCTCTGTCAGCTCTGTGGCCAAAAGCAGATTCTGCAGCAGCTAAAGTTAATACAAATCAAACAAGTAATTGACCGATCATGTCATTGCAAGGAATATGAACGAGAGCGATAGACAGAAATCCAGATTGCAATTGCAAGGACTATGAACGAGAGCGATAGACAGAAATCCAGATTGCAATTGCAAGGAATATGAACGAGAGCGATAGACAGAAATCCAGATTGCAAAATCACGCAGTAGCCCAGATAGTCATGTACCAAGCAGAGAGCACAATGCACCAAGATACCATCCAAATACGAGCAATACAAAGAACTCGTATCTCAATGTCAACGCTTTGTGGCCACACCGACACAGTATCCAATGTCACTCCTACTGGTTGGAACCCAGCGTCCAGCCTACACTACTCGCCTATCTAGCCTATCTAGCCTATCTACGTTCATGCAACAGGATCACATCGAAGTCGAAGACCAGTGTACACGACACCATCACCAATGCAGACCGCCAGCATACACCAGGTACGTTCTCTCTCCTCCCCTCATCACACCCCGTCTCCTCTCTGCATGCGCGTCCTACCCGAAGACCACCTTCACCATCACTGCGCCTGGCCCCAGCAGCCCAGCTGTGGCCGCCGTGAGCCCACTGCCACCGCAGCACCCCTCTCACCCCTTGCAACCGTGCGGGCGTCTGGCCCGCATCATAGTGCAGCAGCACACCAAGTAAAAAGAAAAAAAAGAACAAAAAAAAAAAGTCAACTCAATTGACATTAATTGTGATTAACATGCTTTTCAATCAAGAACAATTTGAAGTTCTGAATTTTTGAATGGTGCAGTAGAGACTCAAGAACCTTCTTTTTTTCACTTTCAAGTTTCAACTAAGCTATATTCTTCTCTCAATATGATATGCCTACACACTACCTAGCAGGCATTGTCAGTCCAAGAGTTTTTTTCCATACTGGCCTTCTCCTTCTCTGCCTCAGCCTAACCCCTCGTGAGGGATGGTAGGGAGCGGCCCCTACCAAGATCAGCCAGGGGGGGTCAGGTGAGATACACATGGCACACCTAAACCTTCCTAGGGGTCCAATTGGTGGAAAAGAAAGGGGGGAGAGGGCATGGGCGGACGGAGGGGGGAGCAAAGGGTAGTGCGGAGGAACACAATGGGAACGAGACTGAGGCTAGGCTGATGCACAGGGAAGGAAGTATCCATTTTTGGCTCCCATCTATGTCACAGACGTATGAAGGACAAAAGACGCACGCAGAGCACAACGCTGGCCAAAGGGAAACGAACTGAGGTGAAAAGAATGGTCGATAATTCCGTGATGACGTAACTCTGCAAACGTAGGACTGGACAGAATGCACCATGGCACCATCCAACAGGAGGTAAGAGGCAAAAGAGTCCTGCCACTCTGTAAATATTAAATTCAACCTTGACTGAGAGGATTTAACGAGAAGAGTATGGAAGACGAGGACCATCACACAACCGAAAGGAGCAAGATATCTGTCATCATGGGAAGACAGCAATCATCAATCGACCTAATATAGTAGTAATATTACATACGTGTCCATAAGCTGAGGAATCTTCAGAAGCTCCAGAAGAGTGTTGTGATTGGCCAACATGGTGTTGTTGAGTGAACGCTTCTCCAAAATGTGTTGGGCTTTTTCCATGAACTCGTTGCATCCTGTCGTCAGTTTTGGCACTTCATTCACCTGTGCACGACATGCCCACATGAAAGTCAACCAATGGGCAGACAACAAAGCAAAATTCATAGATACTAAATGATCAATTGCGGCTTAACCTGCAAAAAACACATAAATAAACGGAGCCCCGTCTCCTTCTCCGGCATTTCCAATGCTCATCATTCCCCCCGCTTCCCTTTGCCATCCGTGCGATTCTCCATCTCTTCCTTTTCTCAGGTCCCCACCCCTCGATATTAAAACAAAATGGGACTTAGCAACCCTCTAAGTAATGAAAGTTTTTCCTTGAAAAAAAAGGGACTTATATTTGAAACACTCGTCACTGGCTCCTTCCCCTTCGCCCCCCCCACCCCACCCCCCCTCGTTGAGCTTGTCATTCTTCCTTCTGTTCATTCCATGCACAGAGCATGTGCATGTTGGCCTTTGTAGTTGTTCTCCCTCCTCGCCTCTCCTTCTCTCCTCTTGGCATGCGACAGATATCGAAAAAAAGATCCCCCTCCATTCTATTTACTCGCCTCATTATCTCCCACCTCTCACCCCTTCCTCTGTACACCGGCGAATTCTCTCTTCCCTGTTTTTCCCCTCACCCCTGCTCCTTGTCATGCGGCATGTGGATGCTGCCTCTGCGCATTTCTCTTTCCCCCCCTCCTCCCCCCCTGCTCCTTGTCATGCGGCATGTGGATGCTGCCTCTGCGCATTCCTCTTTCGCCCCCCTCTCCCCTGCTCTTTCCTGTGCCGCATGTGGTTCTCCCTTCCCTTTTTCCCCCCTCTCCCCTGCTCTTTGCCATGCAGCATGTGGACACTATCCTAAATAATGATCTCCCACCTCTCCTCTCCTCCTTGTCTTAATATGCATGCCAAAAAAAAAAACTGTCCCCTTCCCGATCTCATACTCTGTTTCCCCTCTATTATTCTTGCTTTCCCCTTTGCCCAGGGCACAATCATTCTCTCCCTAGCATAAGAGAACAAACTCGCCATTACCACAGCACCTCTGGAACCTCCCAACCACCCTATAATAGCAGGGACGAAAACAGGGGCAAGTATCCAAAATGGAAGAAGTCATCTCCCTCCGCTGCCCCTCGCAGCCGCTCCTCTTTCTTTTGCATCCCCTGGCTCTCCCTCTAGCACTGTTCATCTACTCACGTAGCTCTTCTTGGGGTCTGCATCGCATGTGGACAATGCACAGCTCCTAATTACACATTGAAAAGACGCGAGGCGAGGCAAAAAGAGGAGGGGTGCCTGAGGAGGAGGTAGAGAGGGGAGGGAGAGAGAGCACGGACATGTGGCGCACGCCACGTTGTAACTCAGGGAGGCAGAAGGGAAGGCCCCACAGGGGGCACTTGGGAGTTTGTGGGGGAACATGCCTCGAGGGGGCACAGGGCGAAGGCACACACAGAATGACAAGCTGCTGCCAACGAAGGTAGGAGGAGGCTGGGGAAGGGTGGGCAGCAAGTGTTGAGAGGGGGCGGTGGCGTGGGTATGACTGAAAACCAGACTGTAACAACTTTTTTCTGGAAACTTGGGCACCACGCTAATCGAATGCCTGGATTTTGCTTGATGGGTTAATGGCTGGCCAGCTTGCCATCAACCTAAAACCCAGGCCGTCCAATAGAACACAGACCACGACTTGGTTTCACAAACGAACCAGTTAGCAATTTCTATACTGTGTAGGCGACACACTTGCTCTCTGCACATACACACGGTGTCACACACACAGTGTCACACACACACACACACACACACACCACTCTGCATTCACGTTTGTCGCTATTCGGTCACTAAATACCTGCCTTGTAAGTTGGAAAATGGACCTGAGATCTGCTTATGTAGATTACGTTCCATAACTCCAGCATAAGAAAACACGTTCAATTTTGGCAGACCTGCCAAACCCTCTTCATCCTACTGCACCTTCCATTCATCAATCCATTGCTAAAACACTTCACTATTCCCGAGTTGCTAAGTTGCCAGCCACGCTATCGACTTAACTACGATACTAGCGAGCATCATAGGGAACAGACCATGTTCTGTTTCATTTTCTCTCCGTTCCTCCCTCTCTTCACTACATCTATCCCTGCTTTCAATCTTGCTTCTTTCCCACAAGTCCCTGTTCACGCTTCTTCCAGTTGATATTCCAAGTGTATTATCAATGTATTACACCTCAACCCTCAAATCTAAGAGCTGTCTGCTCCATCTTTCCTCCTCCTCTCCTTTCTTTCTCCCGCACTCACCCCCTCTCGGCCTCCCCATCACATCTGATCCTCTCCCCGACCTTTTATCTGTGGTCCCGAATTACAAAACTGCCCTGACAGCACAGCTCGTTTCTCGATCCGTCCCAGTGCCCTCTCTCCCTTCTTCCTTCTTTTCTCTCTGTGTTTGCTGCCCATTACTTCAGCCCATAGCGGCCATACTCATAGCAGCCCTCACATCCTGGTTGCTTTTCTTAATCCCTCACTTATCATTTGCCATGCTTTTCTCATTCCTCCACCATCGAAAATATATTAGTCGATCACAAGAATCAAATGCAACCTCACGCTTGGGAGGCAAACACTCGACCAATAGGTGGGGTGAAAGTGAACCTCCAATCAGACTACTTCACCCACCCCCCAGCACAGATTTCTCCGCATCCCGATGTACCCAGTCACACACACACACACACACACACACACACACACACACACACACACACACACACACACACACACACACACANCACACACACACACACACACACACACACACACACACACACACACACACACACACACACACACACACACACACACAACTGCACTGGCCATCAATGCAGCCCCCCCACACTGTACAGCTGCACTGACGAGAAGAGCAGCTCATTAGTTCCTTGGTCCAACATGAAAACCACCTTCTGGGGAGGTTTGATAAGCAACGAATAGAATGGGGCAACAACTGTCAAAAACCTGACACATCATTTATCAACCACGCGCTTGCTAGAAAGAATGCCAATTTATCGTTTTCGTCAGTTGCTAGTCTTACCAGTGTCTCCAAATGGGCATCGACAGCAGCTATCTCCTTCCTAATTGCTTGAATGGATTCTGCTGCAGTTATGAATGCCCCGTAGTTTGAGACTGCAACCTCTTGCATCTGCCGGCGGATTCTGTCCGCATCTGCCCGAAGAAGCTCAGGCTCCTGAAGATAACAAAACATATGCGAGAAATTATAAGAACACAGAGCAAAATGCAGCAAAGTACAAGTGACATAATTAGAACACACACACACACACACACAGAGCTGGTTTTTCTTATACCTGTGTCAGGCTTGCCTGTTTCTTCGTTTCGCGTCCGCTAAATTAAGAAATTCTTACATACTCTTTTTGTTATCTTCGCTTCGCATCCGTTAAATTAAGAAATTCTTACATCCTCTTTCTTCGCTCCTTCGTCTCACATGTGTCAGGCTTCTCTGCCTGTTTTCTCCCCTCTATTTCAGCATCTTTTCAGCTTCGTTTTCACATTCTTTTCACCTTCGTTTTACATTCAATTCTTACCTTCGTTTTACCTTTGTTTTACCTTCTTTTTACGTTCTTTTTACCTTCTTTTTCACCTTCTTTATCACCTTCACTTGCTTTTTCATTTTCTTTTCACCTTTTTTTCACTCGCTTTTTCACCTTCCCTGCTTTCCCCACTCACTTTATCACCTTCCCTGCTCCCACCCCTTATACACATCTAGATGTGTATAAGAGACAGGTCCTAGACAATTTGATCGTATTATTACAGCATG